CATGAGGACTCAAGGATTCCTACCAGACATGGGAGTTTACAATTCCATGATCTTAGCCTATGTAAATGCTGGCGAACCAAAGTTGGGTGAATCATTGATGAGGGAAATGGAGGCAAGAGACATCAAGCCCTCTAAGGAGATCTTTATGACCCTCCTAAGGTCATTTGCTCAGCGTGGTGATGTTAATGGAGCCCAAAGAATAGCAACTACAATGCAGTTTTCAGGGTTTCAGCCCACATTAGAGTCATGTACATTACTTGTTGAGGCATTTGGCAAAGCTGGTGACCCTGATCAAGCAAGGCATAATTTTGATTACATGATTAAACTTGGGCACAAGCCAGATGATAGATGCACTGCTAGCATGATAGCAGCTTATGAGAAGAAGAACCTATTGGATAAAGCCTTAAATCTTCTATTGGAGCTTGAGAAAGATGGTTTTGAGCCTGGGGTGGCTACTTACTCTGTTTTGGTGGATTGGATGGGTAAAATGCAGCTAATTGATGAAGCTGAACAACTCTTGGATAAGATTGCTGAGCAGGGTGAGGCTCCTCCATTTAAGGTTCATATTAGTCTATGTGACATGTATGCAAGAGCTAATGCTGAGAAAAAGGCTCTTCAAGCTCTTGGAGTTTTGGAGGCCAAAAAGGAGCAGTTGGGACCAGAAGAATTCGAGAGGATTATACAGTCACTTATAGCTGGTGGATTTGTACAAGATGCTCAAAAGTTCCAAGGATTGATGGAAGCTCGGGGATTTACAGTATCCGAGCAACTTAAAGTAACGCTCCAGGCATCTCAAACTTTTCTCCGCAGGAGACCATCTGTAAGATAATGTTGGTCATTTGCATTTAGAAGGCAAGTTAGTGCTATCTTGACATTTGGCTCTTGAAAGTGTGTTTTAATAATTTGAAGCCTATAAGAGTTAATTGTCTCCATGTGATCCAGGAACCACCATGAGATTTTCTCCTTAAACTTAAAGCAGCAAGGGGATTACTGTTCTAGAACATTTGCAGCCATGCCTTTCTGCCTGTCTTTGACAGAATAGTTAATAAGTTTTTGACGTCTTATAAATGTCTCCTCCATTATCAGGTGCATCAATTGTCGTCGTTGTGATGTTGCAGCTCTTTCATTTCTTAATGTTTTTTTTCATAGCCTTGTTACTCGGGACTGTTGAATTGATCTTGGAAATCAACATTAAAAGGACTGTGGTAAAGTGATTTTCTTATCCACTAAGAATGCATTGGGTTTAAGTTAAAATATATTTATTTGAGGCTGCGGTACTTAGCTGTTTAGCAGTATCCTGGCAATAGTAGCAGTTTAGCTGGTCATGTGTGTTTGGATTTCAATCAGCTAACTCTTGACTAATGCAGAGTCTCAATCATTTATAGGAGGGGTCTAATTGCAAATGTGGTAGCACTTTAATTTCGACATAAGATGTCTTGCTCCTGTAATCTCCTTTCACGCAAATATATCTGCAGGTAGGAAAGTAATCAGAAAACTGAAAAAAGGTGGCAAAGCCAAGAAGACATACAAATAGTGCTCGCAAGCACCAAATCAAACAATCTGTATCTTTTGTATTTATTATGTCATTTTGTGGAGATTGCATCAAATCAAGCTATCATTGGCGATTAGCTTTCTGTGATTTTCGTGCTCCTGTACCTTGTAGACCAAAAAGGTTATGCAGACATTATAAGATAGAAAACATATGAAGCACATAAATAGAAAGCTCTGCTTGTAGAGTGGAGCTTCTTTATAGCTTCAACTGTCTCAAACGAGTTGAATCTTCGAAAGTGCTTGAAAGGAGTCTGCGTCTTCTCTTATCTAGTTTCTATTTAGCCTAAGCTGCCTTTTACTTTGATGCTAAATCACAAGTTGACTGTTATATCTAGTCTACATGTTCTTCTAAGCAGCTTTCCATCTCTTTGTTAAAAAGTAAAAAAGGAATATGCATAGAATTTGCACGCATTTGTGAAAATGCTAATGACCTTGCCGATTTTTTCCAGTACGCATTGTTGCACGATAGCTCATACTGTTAATTATTCTGTGGTACTTTTAGCATAGACTTCTCTTTGATGGGAGTAAAGTACTTGTAGTTGTGTTTGGGGGGTATCTGTCTTATGTACCCTGTTTTTTATTAATACTTACTTTTTCAAAAGTGTACCCAGTTTTCTGTAGTCTATTACAAGGATATCATGCACTAGCTTAAAGCATCGTGTGTGACTCTTTGAATAATAATGAATTGCATCAATTCTCCCACAAATATAAAATTTCCGGTCAAAATATTTCTTTCATGTTGTTTATTCACTCAGTTGTTCAGTGTAGTAATAATAGTCTAGTTACAAATTAGCTTTGAAACTTGGAGTTGGACTATGAATATAATAAATACTGTCTTTTAGCATGTCAGTCTGGATTTGCAATTTGCTAGACAAGAATTGTCTTCTGGTATCTGCATGTATAGTTTTCAGCGGTCTCTACCACCTGTGTGTTCTTGCCTATTCATAATTTTCCAGAATTGAATTTGGAAAAAAAAAGCAACACCGATTAATGGCTCAGACATATATCATCGACCATATTAAGCTCCTGGTTATGATGGATTGGATATTTCTGATCTTATCCTGGGTATGAGGGAATTGCTTAGTTCTGATCCTTCTAGAAAGGTACTTAATTTTTTATACTGTGTGAAATGGACCTTTTTGAGAAGTAACCAAAAAAAAAAAAAAAAAAAAAAAAAAAAAAGAGAGCATACAAGGTCCTTTTTTGAAATGGACCCTGTATGCATGATTTTCATGTTGCAAACCAGAGTTTGTCCTTAAGATAATAGCATACTCCTGGAGTAATTAAATACAACTGAAACAGTGGAAGGAATCATGTACTATATCCCAGATAATCCATCCACCTAACCACAAGACCATGAGTTCTATTTTGCTACCTTATCTATTTCTGGGCCAGGGAACTAGAGTTAATGCTTGTCTTGATGTGCTGAGAGGTCTTGAGTCTAGCTTACACTGTACTTTCTTTGTTCTTTGGCAGTGTTGTTTAATCAATTTTTGAATCATTAAAAAAGATTGTAATTCTTGCTCTACTGTTGTTTAATATGTCGGGTCTTTTGGAGAGGGAGGGAGGGAGTTCTATTTTGCTACCTTATCTATTTTAGGCCAGGGAACTATTTCCTCAGAGTTAGTGCTTGTGTTAATGTGCTGTGGAGGCCTTGAGTCTAGTTTACACTGTACTTCCTGTCATTCTTTGGCAATGCTGTGGTGCCTCTTTATTCAATCTTTGAATCATTAAACTATTTCCTCAGAGGGAGGGAGGGAGGGAGGGAGCGAGGGTCTTGGTGCACTTGAAATTGATGACGCGGTGGTATTCCTTCTTGAATATTATCAAGCTGCTACTTTCCATGTTAGTGCAGCATTTATGTCACAGTCAAGAAATCCTTTTTGCCTCTAGTAAAACAGAAAAGAGAAAAGTAAATACTCCGTAGTTAAAAGCATTCCTATAGGATTATGATATTGACTCATGACGAATTCTGGGGCCATGTTCAGTCTCAGGAAAGTATTATCCTGATGAGTTGCTGCATGACCTTGTATGAAATGGATATTCTGATAGCTCTGTTAGACAAGGTTCAGGGGCTATTGTTGCTTACAACTTGAGCTACATCATCAAGTCCTCAAAGGGCTTTTGATATTCAGTAAGGGCAGTAGTCTCCCGTTCAGTAGCAAAAGCAGAAGCTGAATCTGAAATTGACATTTCTGGAATCTAGGGAGGTGCTTGTTTCTCTTTAGGTGAAAGACCGAAACTGTTGAGACTATGTATAGCTAATTCTTGTTGTCAAAGTTGATAGTAATAATGTTTTTGTGCCTTGTTTCTGTTTCTGCTATCGGCACGTCCCTTCCACATGAAAGAGAATATATATACCTTTCATGATGTTCACCTTAACCAGATTTACCTTATTCTGTGACAAACCTTGTGAGCACTTTTTTATCTTGGATTTGGCTATGCTTGCAGACTCTGGCTGCCCTAGAATAGTAAGCTTTAGCNTGGGAATTCACTGAGTTTGTTGTTGTGGGGGGTGGGGGGTTTGAGACATGGTAGAGGGCTGGTGAACTACTATCATTGATCCCTGAATGTTGTTACTACAGAGTTTCACATTAATGTAATAGTAAATCATTGACTTTAGCTGATATGATCAACAGATGATTAACCGCTTCACTGGTTGCAACATATGTTCTTTTGCTGTGTCTGTAAGAAATGATTAGGTATTTCCGCATGGTACAGTCAAACGAGAATTGTTTCTGTGCTTGCAAGCACTATTTGTGCAGCAGAATGAATGTTAATAAATGGCATGTGTGAAAGCAGTTTCGAATGCCAATGTACTGGTTAGTTTGGTCTAGTGATGAAAGATTATCTGTACTACTTGAGAGATTCCCTAGGAAGGATGTTCTCCCTTCATTGGTTGTTGTAGGTTACATTCTTTGCTTAAACAACTAGGTCAGAAAAGAAAGAATGATGAGCTCTTCCTCTGAATTTTGTTTTGTGCTTTGCTTCTTGAAGAGGCATTAGACACCTGATAGCATATTGCTGAACATAACCTTTTTGTGGTATTTCTCGTCTTTTCTTTACCTTTTTCTTTTTTTCTCAACCTCTTTTATAATGATCTTTGACAAGGAAATATGGTTTGCCCCTATTGTAAGATTGGTTGTCTTAGGCAAGTGTGTTCTGCTTGCCGCATTGTTGTGCAATTCAACTTGCACCAGGACAAGAATATGAAGCGAGAAAATGTGTAGGAGTAAAATTTTGAAATTCTTTATAATATTATAGAGTTGGACATTGTCACATTGGCCAAACGGTTAGAAAGTATACTTTAAAAGCTAGACCTCTTAAAGGAAGTAACTTTCACAATAGACTTCCCAGAAAACGGTTATTCTTTGAGAGGGGAAAAGAAGCAAAGTAATGTCAGATATGTTCCAAGGTATCAAAAGGAAACCTATTTAAATTAGTTTCAACGCTCATTTCGATTCAAAAAGTATAGCAAATATTCATTTCCTTTGCACAATATCCTTTTTAAATGGCAGCACGGAGGTCATCGTTTCGCTTTCGCCTTCCTTGGTCTCAAGATGAACCAGCTCCACCTCCAACACCAGCAACCCAACCATCTACTCGACCCAATGCTGGCACGGCTCCCTCTCCGGCAACTCGACCAGCAGCAGGGTCACAGCCAGCTGCGCGGACCAACACAAGCAATCTGTCTAAAGCTGAAACCCCAACCAGCAACCAGCCACCCAACCCCACGAGAAACGCCACTCCTTCAATTCCTACTTCACCAACTAAAGCTGGAACTCAGGACAACAATCAGCTGCCCAACACCAAAACCAGCACAACTCCAACACCATCTCTCTCTCCACCTCGCCCTATTGAATCCTCCACCCCAAGCACATGCCAATCACCTGCTACTCCTACCACTGCTGGCTCTTCGACTGAAGCCCGAACCCCTACCCAAGCCTCAAATATGAGCTCTACCTCCACCAATTCTCCAGTTCGACCTACGTCTCAAACCACCACCAGTAACCCTACTACACCAAAGGTTGCTCAGAGGCCACCATTTCGGCCAGCAGGGGCAGCTCCCACTCCCAAGAATCGGGCATCCAAGAACGAGTCTCAACCTTCATCACCATCTCAAGCAACTAACAAGCCCCGTATCACATCTCAACCAGCTTCACCATCTGGTGCAGCAAATAGGTCTCGTGTATCTCAATCCCCATCTCCATCTCGCTCAGCTCCTCAATCACCGGCTATGACTCCAACATCCTCCCCAACACGCAAGGCTCCCCACGTCCTTTCATCTAAAGCAGGTCAGGAATCTTCAAACTCTCTATCCGTCGTGAAATCTCAAATGCAAGAAAAGAATCAGGAAACTACTCTGCCAACATCGCCACCACAATCATTGCAAGAGATTTCAAAGCCTTCTTCCAAATCCATAGAAGCAGATAAAGAACCAACAGAACAAATGGAGCTTCGAACCAAGAAAGAAACCAAGTCAGATGCGGACTCTGAAGCAAAAATAAAGTTCACAGACAAGGCAATGAAACCTTCAGAAGAATCAGTGCCAAAATCCACTATAACAGGCATTACAAAAGGGCCATCTGAGAAATCAGATTCTTCCAGTATCAGTGGTGAACCTAAAATGCTCAAAGAGTCAGATACCAACAATCAGGAAACCAAAGAAGTCATGCAAGAATCTAGACGTAAAGACTATGGTGCTGGAGAAAGAACCCCAGAAGTTCAATCGAAGCAAGAGGGTTCTAGCAAAGATCAAATTTTGAAAAACTCTGGATCTAATGGAAGGCAGACAAGAACAACTACAACTCAGCCAAGGAACAAAACTGCGGTAAGTGGTTCTAGTCAGAAAACTGCAGTATCCAATGAAGCACATATTCCCATTCACAAAGAGATCAAAGATAACATCTCAAAGGTTCTTAATAGAGTAGGCACGCAAAAAACTGGAAAAACGGCAGTGAATGTGATCACTCTTGCAGGTGATAATAGAGGAGCATCTATGCAACTTGGCTCTGATTCTTCCACAAAAGGAGGGCGAATCCACATTCACAGAGGATACAAAATAAACCCTAATGAAAGTGCTGACGCAACCACAGATGGGGAGGGAAGTTCAAAGACTAAGGAAGATCAAACCTTAGCTGCATACATTAATTGCAACGTACAGGGCATCAACAACTCTATTGTATTTAATAGTTCCATAACAGAAAGAGATCCAGGTGTACACATGTCGATCCCGCGAATGCCTTCAGAACCTGTACATTCAAGTCTGTTTGAGGCACACAAGGCAGAATTCAGTGTTACACCAGCTAGAACAATCAGAAGGAGATGTCTCAGAGGCCTTTTCCTTGAATCAAGTGATTCTGATCCAGATAAACCTCGGCGACATGGTTGTCGAGTTGGCTGCAATGAGAAAAAAAAATAACAAGATAAACGTTCTTTAAACAACTACACTTGATCTCAAAAATTCCTTTTATACATATTTTATAATCTGTGTGTCAAGCAAATGTAATAAAGATGCGAGTGATTCATGAGATATGCTTGTTTGGTCCTCTTCAGCAGGTTTGTTGAAACAAAAAGATCAAAAGAAATCGCTTGGTAATTAAAAGAGCGATAGTATTTCTTTCAAGTTGACTCAATTTTTTAACCATGCTAAGGAACAGAAGAAAGACAAAGCGTGAAAAATTATTTCAAATTAATACTCAAGAAATCGGCTATATCAAATGTCTCTAGTTCCCTGTAAAAGAAAGTTTTACTGATTGCTGTTAACTTAAAAACTTGTAGGAGTCCTTTATAGGTTACTTAGGAAATTCACAAAGTTATTTATACAAAAAGTTGGGCCTATGTTGATATTCTATTATCCCCAGAAAAGAAAAGGAAAAACATTAAAATTCTCATTTATTAACAATAGGGCGGTAGGTCATGTAGATTCATATCTAATCAAACACCTGAGCTTACTAAGTTATTTATAGTTAAAGTTGGAAGGATTTGATAACCTGTAACTATAAACATGGTTACATACGAGCCTATGTAACAATGTTTAACCAACTCTTAACTATTGGTTTCTGGTGGTCATTATGGATTCAGTCAATGAAAACAGAGAATGTTTTTGTTGATACTAACTTAGAAGTACTAAAGAATTAACAGTAAGGGCTCTTAAATAAGAAGTATCCCTTAATGAAAAGCTGATGCTGTCAAACTAACAGAAAAATGGAAACTTTAATTGATTATTTAGTTACTGATTTTGTTTTTCTAATATAAGGACACTGCATGAGTTACGCCAACTTTACCCTGTATCAGCCTCCCCTTTTACCAACAATTTTGCATAAAAAAAGATTATCTTCAATAAAGCGTTAATATGCTCAAGCCAGAGTTTTTAATATGATACAAAATTCCAAATCTACAAAATCTGACTTTGACTCCGAAAGAATCCAACTCAGAAGTTAGATAAGCTTGGCTTCCTGACTTGGTCACGTGAAGATCGTATGTACATAAACTATGACGTGACGATGTATAGGACATCCATTTGTATACTAAATTAATTCTCTTTTCCATTTTGGGTACTTATCTCACCAAGTTCTCGTCACCCTGCATGCATATCTACGTGCTGCGCTACAGAGTTCCACGCCTAATATTAAGAATCAATTTTTTTTTTTATTAACTTGTCTTCTAGTAAGCTTTATTAAAGACACAAATTATTGCACTCAGGAACTGAGTTGAGTATAGCATCAACTGCTTCGAAGAAAACCAGCAAATAATAAGTGAATAATATGGGTTCCCTTATGGCAGGTTGGGCCTGTAATGTTCCTGACCCCAAAGTTTGTAAGTTGCTGCAAATCTTCTTCTCACCTTATACTTAATTTTCTGAGTTTTAGTTGCGAAATAAATTTTTTTTTACTTTGCAGTGAAATATAAGAGAAACAAGTCACTAACAAAGGAAGAAATAAATGCCTATTGGAGATCCCATAAAAAGAAAGAAGAAGAGCATCTTAGAGATAGTTCTATGCTATCCCCTCGCAGCCCAAATCAGGTCATACTACTACTTTTACTCTTCTAATGTCGAAAGGATGGTGTGATATTAATTAATTTATAGTGGCTTAGACGTTTTTTTTTTTGGGACAGGCTAATAGTACCTTTGAAGAGGCTGCTAAAAAGGAGTACGAAACTTCAAACTCCGGGGAGATTTTGGGTATTAACAGTGATACAAATTGGGAGAACCTAATCGAGAAACACGGCTGGTATGTACGCATATTTGATATTTGATTATAACTTATGAAATTTTGGTGGATGCATTTATGAGAGCAACTAAAGTCAATAGTGTATACATTTAGCAACAAAAAATATTTAACTTAACAAGTGCTCTCTCAAACTAAGCGAGATAATCTCCTACCACTAGGCCAACCGATCAATCTATAGTTCTTTTAATTATTATTCCTACAGAATATTACTTGTATTAGTCATATATGCCCCCTCGCAACAATAGCACAAAAGTATGTTTTATCCATTGATGGTGTAAGAAGTATTTGGGCAATCATGTCTCCTAATTAAATTATTAAACTCATAAACATTAACAGTTAAAAAAATCTTTTCGCACTATCATAATAATTTAATTACATTGTAGCATGTTAGTTACTTTAATGTTGGACCTGATTAGTTGTGATGTTGGGATATGGTTGTAGGTGGGTAATTAGCAGTTTGGCACATTTGAATGAACCGCCAGTGCTAGCACCAGAAGAGGCTACTTACAAGCGTGGGTCACGGTTCAATGCAGCGCCCAATATGATTGCACCAAACACCAAACAAGCCCAAACAGGATAATCAACTCTTGATGACTCCTGTTTCAGATCGAAATCAAGCTAGTTAAATTTTGATATAGAGTTTGAATGAACAAGTATATGTACATCTAAGGTGGTGTTGAGCTTGTAAATGTAATGTGTTTAGGTGTTGTTTTTGTTGCACGTTTGTAAATTTAAGGTGTAATGTTTTTTTTTTTTTTTTTTTTAGGTTTT